GTGAGGAACATGTTCCGAACGGCAGCACATGTCTGCTCAGGAGGAGAGGAGAGGAAGGAGTCCTTGAAACTGGCGCACGGTATTGCTGTTGCGAATGGCTATGGAAAGCCTTTGACCTCCCACAGAGCCAGAATTGGTGGGGCCAACAGCAGACGCGGTGGTAGCATGATAAGCGGCAAAATCCCTTTCATGCTACCATACGTCTCCGATGAGGTGAGCACCTCCGTAAGGAGGTGTCTGAGGAGGTCAGGTTTGGAGAACATAGTAGCCATTGTAAATATACCACCCAATAACCTGAAGCGCCGCCTGGTGAGGAATCGATTGTACGACCGCCTATGTGCAACCCCCGATTGTGTGGTCTGCCCGGCCGGCAAAGAGGGTGATTGTACTATGACAGGGGTGGTCTACAAAATCACCTGTCGCAGCTGTGGGGACCAGTACATCGGCGAGACGGCTCGTCCGCTTTGCGTGAGGGTGAAAGAGCATCTGGATGGTATGAGCAGGTCACGAGTGTCTACTGCCTTGGGTGCCCATAGGGTCCAAAGTCACAACGGGGCTGTTTTTGGAGTCGCGGTCGAGGTCTTAGCGCGAGAGGCACAAACCTCCGCGCGAAAAACCCTTGAGGCATTCTGGATCCAGGTCATCGATCCAAAGATGAACCGGAGGGAAGAATGCCTCACTATTACGCGGGAACTGAGGCCCTATATAAGGTTGGCCTTCCACGAGGGGCTCTGAATGCAGAGCAGTCCGATCAGCTTCAGCTGCCACCTTCCTATTGGTCTCTGGGATCGGACTGGATTACGGTAAGTGCTCTTCCCCGTGATTGGGTGATGACCTGTTTAGGGTCGAACTTCAGTAGGCTGCAGAGACATTTGATCGGATAGTCGCAAATCGTTTCGGTCCTTTCAGGCTCTGATGAAGGCGGTCTCGCCGAAACGTGCGTAAGCCGAATAAACTGCTGTATCAACCTCGCGAAGAGTTTCCACAGAAGAATTTCTACAGTGCTAACAGGTCTTCTGCTCCCAGTGGAATTACAATAAGTAGTACCGCATAGCTAGCGCGCTACTTCATTTACACAGCGTTGGTTTCACATGTCCGTCATTCTCTTGTAACCACTTCGCTGAAGCTAGCGTATCATCACGTCGCAGAAGGCAACGTAAACTTTTCCCGCAACCTTCTATGGCCTTAACTGATTTTATCCCTCAGGGCTATAACTGCTCTCTTCAGTGTTGGTAGTGTCTTTAGGACTTAGACCGGCTTCCTTGGCCTGCGTTTCACTCTTCATTTCCGATACAGTCCGATTCTGCCAAAAGCAAGTGCTCCAGCCAGCCCATCGAAAATGGGTCGTCGTGATAGAGGACTAAGAAAACCTAAGGCTGCGTTCATACCTTGCGTCCGCGTTTCGAGCGACTAGGAAAGGCGTACGGCAGCATTCTGAGCGTTTTGCGGGTGGTTTCGAACTTTTTCAGGGCAGTCGTTGAAAACGTTGGCGTACGCTCAAAACACTGAGGCTGCGTCCATACTTCACGGCAACATCGGTCAACTTCCACCAACATTTTTGTGGACGGTCTTGCTCAAGCTCAGATGTGCCCCCAAAAACGCGGTTGTACCCTTGTGGACGCCGGTGGACGCTACCGCGAAGTATTGACGCGACTTGACGCAAAGTCTGAACGCAGCCTAAGGTATGATGACGATCTCCAGCTGATGATGCTAAACAGCAATGAACGAGAGGCGGTATTTCGGTGCCACTGTCTTGAATAAAGAGCGACGATGCGGATGCGGGCAAATTATTCAGCTTTTCACGGAGAACTTCGATTTTTTGAATAATTTTTTTTGAGTTATTTCTCGGTGCTGACAGTCCAGTGGGAGTGCATTCAGACTGGAATTCACCGTCAAATGTCGAGCGTACGATATGTGGTTCCATTGTTGACTGTGATAAATACGGATCAAATCACATACCTGGTGTTTCCATTCTATCGCCGAGGATCCGTCGGTGATGACTTGCTTCGGAGGCGACCGAAAAACGATTATCTCACTCAGGAAGAGGTATTCTTTTCATATATATGTTGCTAGTTGTTTCCCTTCACATTATTTTTCTTGTATTTTGATGAATTCATTCTCTAGCTTCTTTTTGACCTCGATTTCTATGTTGCCCATTGTACTAACATTGATCTGATCTGTTTTGTATGCTCACAGGAGGTATCGTCTTCTCTTGAAGCTGTTTATTGGGAGCAAAAATGGTCTTGTACTTGAGGGGACACCACTTGCCGAACGCTGAAACTGTCTTGACAAAACACATTATGTAGAGGGATAAGTACGTCCGAGAATCTAGTTGTGAGCGCGGCGACCCCTACGCTCCTTCTTCTTCTTCTTCTCCCTAGCGTTAGTCCCGCGCCGTCGCAGGATCCGCTGTTCTTGTTAGACGTCGCCACTGTTCTCCAATGTGGCTTTCACTTCAGTGAGGTCCTTCTTGATGACGTCCCTCCATCTTTTCTTTGGGGCTCCTCGTGGTCGCTTGCCCTCTACTTCGAATTCCAATGCCTTCCTTATTGGGTGGTCTTCAGGCCTCCTCAGTACGTGCCCATACCATCGCAGGCGCTGCTCTCGTGCCTTCAGCTGGATCGGAGCCGTCTGTGTTGCCCTGACGTCCTCGTTTCTGACTCTGTCGAGTCGTGTCCAGCCGCAGGCCCATCTCAGCATCCTCATTTCAGCTGAGTGGAGCTGCCTTCTCCTGGTTGCTGTGCAGATGGGCCACCATTCACTATCGCCTCTATCTGTGGGCTATCCTTGCGGGGGAATTCTTCGTTCAGTAGTCCCTCGAAGTATTCTTCCCACCTCTTTCTGACTTCGGCTGGTTTCCTGAGAATGGCCCCGTTGCTGCTCTTCACAGTCTTTACGACCCTGATGTCCAGAGCGGCTCAGTACATCAGGGTCGTAAAGCCGAGCTTTAGCCAGGCGGAAGACGAACTTGTCCTCTTCTCGGCTCTCCAGCTTCTCGTACAGGGCGTCCATTTCCGTATTCTTGGCCTTAGCAACGGCTGCCTTAGCGAGTCGCTTGCAGCTCTTGTAGGCAGCGTAGTCTTCTGGGCTCCTTGTCTTTTGCCAGCGTTTATATGCTTCCTTCTTCTGCTTGACGATCCGCTGGACTTCCTTTCTCCTCTGATGCCCTCGCGCGTCTCTCCAAGGACTTCCTTTGCACACTGTAGGATGACCTCTGCTGCGTGGGTCCAGGTGTCCTGGACTGGCCCATGTGGGTCTGGGAGCCCAGCCTCCAGTATTCTTCGGCCGAGGCTATCCTTTTCTACCTTGCGCATTTTCCACCACCGAATTCTTCGCTCTGCTCTCACCCTTGTCTTCTTGGGGAGGTCTATGGCGATGTCTGCCAGGAGAGGCCTGTGCTGAGGGCCCAGCTCTTCCCCAGGCAGTACCTTGATATCCTTGACGGTTTTGAGAGACGATCTTCTGACCAGGACATGGTCGATTTCCGTTTGTCTCCCTCCACTGCTGTAGGTTATCTTCTGGTCCTCCTTTTCGCGAAGAAGGTGCTGCAGATTGCTAAGTCGTGGGCTGTGGCTAGGTCAAGGATCCGTTCTCCCTCAGCGTTCTTTGTCCCTATTCCTTGACCTCCGTGCACCCTTTCTAGACCCCTTCTGTCCTTCCCACATGGCCATTCAGATCCCCAGCTATGGTGAGGTAGTCATCTTCCGGAACCGATCTTATGGCCTCGTCCAGGGTCAGGTAGAACTCATCCTTTTCCGCCTCGGAGCAACCGGATTGTGGTGCGTACACGGTCAGTACTGTCCAGTACCCCTCCTTCGTGTCCATTCTCACTCCCATGATCCGATCACTGATCCTGTTCACAGAGGAGACGCAGTCCTTGAGGGATTCTGCCACCGCTATGGCCACGCCATTCCGTTTGGTGTCTGCTCCATTGTAGAAGAGTTTGACACCTTCTCCAATCTTCGCACCCTTCCATCGCGTTTCCTGAAGGCATAGGACTTGGATATTCCTCCGTCTCATGAGGTCGGCAACCGAGACTTCCCGGTAAGCGACCCCACGTTCAGGGTCCCAATTCGAACTAGCTTCTTTGGCCGAGGTCGTTCACCCCTCGGTAGCCCTCGCATACTGACCACAGAACTCGGGCGAGGGTTCTGCGCGCCACCGGGTGACGTCCTAGCTTTTACACTGATACTTTTGCGACTTGTCATGATTGTTGTGACGGGTTCCTCCATCAGCCGGCCTGTCAACCTGGGCCTGACGCTGGTATCGTCCCCATTTTTGCAATTTTGCAAATTATGGTTTATGCTCGGCAGGGATCGAAAGATTGAGTTTATGAGTCTACACTCCTAACCACTCGGCTATCCCTGCCTCCGGCGAAACCTACGCATCTGCATAGTCAGTCCAAACAGAGAAGATTCGGGAACATGTCATGTCAGCACTTTCTTGTACCCTCTCTCAGCCTTTCTGTTTATATCACTGCGTGAACGACAACCATGGTACAGCATCGTTGTGTGAAACACATGGGAGGTCGTACTTGGCCGCTGGGGAGGGGAGGGGAGTCGCATTGCCGCACCGGGGAAAAATTTTTCTCGGTTGTTGGCTTTCTGCGTGATTTTCCCTGTTTCAAGTGTACTATTTACCCCCATCAACGGAAAGTTCCTAGGTGAAAAGCTGGGAAATAATGTGTAGGTGTGGGAAAGGGGGAGTTGTACCGAGGGTCCTCCTTCAGGTGGCTTGTACCAAGACCCTCCCTTGAGTGGGACGTCGTTTTCACACCACCATTTCACGCATCACGATGCTCTATCTGACGACAACAAGCATTATTGAAAAGAGGATCATTGTTCCATTTTTTGTAGCTTTAGAGAATCAAACATCTCATTGGGGGTCTTTCCAGTGAGGCGGGGGATGTTCTCAGATTTGCTCCTAGCCTTAAAATAGATGAAATAATATTTTCCTAAAGCAATTCAACACAGTAGCTGGCAGTTAATGAGTGACCACCGCTGCCGTTTCAGGTGATTCGCATTTTTCTGGGATTATGCACGGCTGTACGTCATTTACATAGGCTTGGATATGTACATCGCGACTTGAAGGTAAGTGTATGAGTAAAGTATAAGGTAGTGTGTGCGGACCTATGGGAGGTGAGTTGCCCACCCATAAAGGGACCGGCTGTAGGGAGTCTGCCATCTCGTTTATCTATCTGAGTCGTACTTTCTCATTCTGACTTGGACACTTTTTGAATCCATTTTTATGCATTGTATGCCTGTTGAACTTGACATCCCACCCTTTTGATGAGGACACCGTCCCATCTGATTTCAAGAATCCAATTCAAAGTGGAAGTTGCATCGGCGCCGAGCTCGCTCTCCACCAGTTGTTGACGGGGGTGCTTCCGTTGATCTCGAGTCCACAATGATTACCTCCGTAATGCTTCAATCATTTCAGGTAGCAAACGTTCTTCGAGCTGACGATGGAACACCGATGTTGACAGATTTCGGCTCAGCAACGAAGTTGGTGAAGCTTCTGCGATGTTTTTTCTTCCGTTTTGCGAAAGCTTATTTCAAACCGCTCAGCTTTGACACTCTTTTGTTAATCGATCTCGTTTCGGCGATGCCCCAGCAAATGGCGCTTAAACTTGCGAAAAACGGACTGCGAGCTAGGGAATGAGAATATCCACCCAAGCGTAGGTGGGAGGGGCAGGGGGAGTTTTTTGCACATTTCCTTATCCGCACTATTCATGAGTTTTCCCTTTTGGTTCCGATCTCTTGATGAGGAAGTTTATGCAGTTTGATATCGATTACGACAAAGTGCATCAAATTTCATTGACTTGAATTCACTTTCAGGGTACCAATTCGTATCGATTCTGCGCGCCAGCAGCAGCGTGCAGTCGATGAAGCGGCAGAGTTATGCTCAATGCCTTATCGTGCACCAGAACTGTTCAACTGTCAAATCGGTTCCGTCATCACGGAATCTGCCGACCTGTGGGTGAGTTCCAGTGGCCCTAGACAATGGTGTGACCACTTCCTTCAGAACACGGGATCAACTATATGGTGTTTCAGTCTCTTGGATGTTGTCTCTACGCGCTGTGCTTTTTTGTATCGCCCTTCGATCTCGTCTACGAAAAAGGGAACAGCGTTGCGTTGGCTGCACAAAGTCCCGAGAAGATACAGTATCCCGACGTGAAGCAGTACGTTTAGCTTTCATTTCAAAGCACTCCATAAATTTCATGTGCGGTGTGTTCGCTGCGGACGCTTGGGCATTGCAGGCGGTTGGGTTTGGGGCGGCACCAGCCTATACTCCACCGAAAATGGAAGCTGGCAGGCGACCTCGTTTTGGTGGAGGAGAGGCTGGTGCAGTGCCAAATCCCATTCTGTGATTGTTCAGGTTTGATGGTCAACTGATCAACGTGATGCGTGCGCTTCTCGTTGTGGATCCGGTCCGGCGCATGTCCATAGAAGAAGCCACCAATGTGGTAGGATCAATAGTAACGAAAAGTAGGGACAATAGCGGTCAGAACACTATGGCTGTATAGCTCTATCAAAGTTCTGCTCCTTTCCTAATTATTTACACTATTTCGCAAGATTTGATATATAAAGATCGCGGTTGAGACTGCGTTCATACTCGGCGTCAGCGTTTTGGACGGCTGAGAAAGTATAGTTGTCGATTAAGCGCTTTGAGCGTGCACCATCATCTTCAGCGACTGCCCGCGACAAGTTAAAACTACCCGGGAAACGTTCAAAACTGTCCACGAAACGTCCTGGGTGGGCCCACACAAAACCTAAATCGTTATCTGTATTTTCCTGGTCACTCAACGCTCTGAACGCTGCCATACACTCGAGACGCTGACGCAAAGCTTGAACGCAAACTACGACTGCCGCATTCTTTAGCCTGCCTAATCGGTATCGTACTCGAAGACACCTTCCAGGATTGTGGGATTGTTGGGTTTGCGCTGTCATTGTTGCCTCGCTCCCCACAACACCTTCTTCACCGCCATAGAAGGGAGGAAGGGGGGGGGGAGGAGCACGCCGATGACTCGTCCCCTAGCTCCGCCCACCCGACAACCCCAAAACGTGTCTTCAAGTGCAGCGACGCGAACAACTTGCCGCTGACTATAAACATCGCCTGTGACTAATTTTCATCAACTAGGTTCACTTGAAGGTGCCCAATTACGTGGGGTTTTCTGATCGGTTCGGTCTCCCTCTTTTGCCGGCCGGCTACATTTCCTTTAGGGTTTATTTTGAAAAGACCGGATTAGAGATAAGAAGTTGTATTAGATCTATACGAGGTTCATCTTCATATCTAATCATCATTCATTCACTCATATTTTCTTTTTCTTTTCATTCTTCTGAACACCAGTTATAATACGATATGTTGTTAATGATCGTGATTGATGGACTATTTATTAACTGATTAATGTAAGTATTTATCATTATGTGATCAAACCTTCAGTTTTTTCCCGTTTTGTCTTCTGATAAATTTACGTTGCACTGACCATCGATGATTTTGAAGAAACAAGTTTATGAGTTCAGGAAAAGAGGCGGTATACAGAACCCTTCGAAAATCGCGCGTGAAAATAAGTGTGTCGCGTTTGTGAGTGCAGACAATCAGGCATACCGCAAGCCGGTTCGACCATCAGAGATTATTAGCCTGTGTTATATGCCTGGGAAAAGAGCTTCGAGTGAGGCCAGGAAGTGAGAGCGTCGCCAATGCCGCTTTCCACCTGGTCAAGAGCTGCCTTGGCGAAGGCTGTGTGGTGTATCTGCACTCACTGCTTTTACGCGCCCAGTTTCAGAGAGTTGGGCGTTTATAGCGGAATGTGCTACTAAAGGCCAGGACATGCATGTCTTACGTGAGTGTTAGGACGGCGCTAGAGAGATCGACTGCGTGGGGGGGGAGTTGAATGGAGCTGGTTTCTTTGGCAATTCGAAAAATTCTTGGTTCAAATTTGGAGTAGGTAGAAGAGCCAGCGGTCGTGCAAGGATCGAAATGCACCGGCCTCTTGTCCCTTCATTCGAACGGACTTGATCTAGATCCAGTCGATGAAATCAAACAACCCTTGGACCCCTCCTGCGCCTTGTGGCCACTTCTTCCTCTTCCTACTCGTTTCCTGCTCCTGTGGAGGATAATTCATATCAAAATGTGAGTCCTTCTCCTTTCTTCCATCTTTTGGCTTGGTTGTCGGCCCCGCCGCTCAAGGGTGCCACTTAGCCATTGTTTGCTGCCCGTTTTCAGGCGCTCATATCACATTAATTGCTTGACGTTCTGATCGATCAGCCAGTGAAATAAACACAAATCGTGAGAGCCACTTTCAGCAGCTTTCCGACAGTCTGCTGTTTGGCGATAATAGCGATTCCAAAGTGGGTCATTTTTGGACCTTCCACTTCTCCTGTATGATCTCTCTTTAGCAGGACTCCCCTCTGACAAAGAGTTGAAGAAGACTCCTTTAACAAGGGGAAAAATCCTAGAATCTGGCAGAAAATCTTTTTTCGTTTTTTTTTGTTTCACATGTACTATATAGCTCCGACCCCTTTCCCACCAGGTCACATCGTTGTTGGAGATTCCCAATTAGGGAGTGGTCGTTTTGGGGCTGAGAAAAATTTCTTTTGGTATGACTTTCTTCTTTCAGGGACGTTGTAAAGGCGGGGAGGCGTATTCCCCTTCTAACCTTTTTAGAGAGGTTGCAGACTTTTCGTGGTTTATCCTACTCTATGTACCGCCCCCCCCCCTCACCTCGACAGCAAAATTTTTGAGGAAAAGTAGGGAAATTTCCGGTAAACTCCAGAAAAAGTGGCAGGAAGTTGGAGGGGAACTGGGGGGGGGTTGCATAGTATGAGCCATCTTTCAAGGAGGTGGTGGTACGGACTCGACCAAAATTCCCAACCATTGATGTGCCCTGCCTTTCCCTCCACTCGATGGCAGGTTCTTGGGATAAAAGTGAAGTAGTTTTTGGAAAGAACTGCTAAAAGTGGTAGGAAGCTGGGAATTCGGGAAGGTGGCAGCTAAGACGTAGGAGGGGGGTCGTACCAGAGGAGATTTCAAAGCGAATCGTTGCAAGAGTTTCCCTAAACGGTAGGCAGTGGCCTGTTCTGAGACAGCCAAAGGATGTGCGAACATTATATTGATTTTTCAAAGCCCCAAAACTTTGCATTTTTATTGTCTTGTTCGTTTCTGATCTGCTACCAATTATTATGTGTTTGAGTAGTCCTATCAAAACCGTTTCCAAAAGACCCAAACTTTTACCCAGGAGACAAAAACGCTTTCGGCGCAGTCAGGCCAAAAGGGGTGGGGCACGCCGGCCTGTCAACCTCCACATGACACCGCTACCGTCTGGAGACTGCTTTTGCAGCACATGGTTGACCAACCGATTTATGCAATATCGAGCCAGATTTCGCACCTCTGCATTATGGAGGCTGGCCCACCTCCGCGCTGCTGTTTGGAGATGAGAGAATCTTGTTCTGTCTCCCGTAGAGGTTCTGTTTGCAAGAGGAAGGCGAGGCGTGCTGTAAAATGGATGTACTCTCCTCATCATTACGGACTGTCGGGGCGGGTCAGTGCGGCTGCGTTTTCCGCGGTGCCAAAGTCTTTCTGCACCAGTTGTTGAAGCGGGCAAGTGACATTACTGTATTATATCCTTCGTATTACTCGTTTTCTACCACTTTTTGTCGCATACGCGTTTCAACGAAAAGGCTGAGAACGGCTTCAAACAGTGTGCGCACTCCTACTGGCTGATACGCCCCGACAGTCCGTAATGATGAGGAGAGTAGGCTCTCGCTAGTCACCCAGAACGGCTGAAAATATGCCTGAGAACATTTGTAGGTCTCCATTTTGGTTGGTTGCTCAGTCGACAGTGTAGAGTGTTTGCGAAAGGCAAAAGCGAGTGGACCCGTAGGATGGTGGGTAAGGCGAGTATGAACCTGACCATTCGAATATACAGTATGGTTTTGAGAAATAAATGCAGCCCGGACGAAAGGGAGGGATTCCACTGGCATCCTCTGCGATCTACGGTGCTCCAGAAGGCGAGAGGGAGGGTGCGGACAGTGGTAATGCCGATGCCGTACAGCAGTGAGTGCTGGCCCCTCTACAAGGACCATGAAAGGCAGCTCCACGTAAAATAGGGATGCTGAGATGGGCCTGCGGCTGGACACCAGTACACAAAGTCAGAAAAGGATGTCAGGGCGGTCACACAGACGGCTCCGGCCCAGGAAGGCATAGGATCGCACTGAGGAGGCTTGACGATTGGCTCCCCTAGACTCGGAAGTTGGGGACAAGTGACCACGAGGAGCCCCAAAAAGATAAAGGCGTCACCAAGAAAGACCTCACTAAAGTGAATCCCACGGCAGAAGATGCAGTGGATCGGAACAAGTGACGTCTATCACGAACAGCGGGCCCTGCGACGGCGCGGGACTAATGCTAAGAAAAAGGGCAAGAAAGAAGAAGAGTAGGTAAGTGGTTAGACAACTACTGTCGCGAAGCTTGATTCCTCCCACAAGTCTTCTTTTTCCTGACAGTTTTTCAATTTCCATTCTTAATGTCCAAAAAACCCCCATTGCCAGGGAGCGAAATTATTCCCACCCCCTCGTTATTGAAAGCTTTCCTTTGGATGTCCGAGTCTTGATCCAACGATAATTCCGTAAAAGCCATGTGAGAGCTAAATGGTTCTTGGGTAGACCTACAAGGAAACGAGAAACCTCTGACCCCTCAAGCCGTGATCATAAAGAGTTTAATGAACGCAGTCGGATTAGGTTGTGACCGGAAGCCGCTCAGGTGGCATATCCCAAACAATCTAATAAACATCCCCCAAGCTCCTCCACCTTTGTTTATTCTCACCCATATGTTGTATAAGCAGCGTAAAACCAGATTGCTTCAAGAAATAGCCCTAGGCCATTCTCTCAGCCCCCTTGAAGACGTTTTCTATTTGCTCCTGCTTCGGCCGATGTTGCCATCGGAGGTCGCAATTAGTCGTCCTCCGGTGGCGCGCATTATTGCGTCTTCTTCGCTGATGACCAGCAGCGATTTCCATAACAGAATCAACTGTCGTTTAAGCAGCACGTGAACCACAGAAAGCGGAAAGCAGTGCTTACTATCCTGCAGTGAAGTATATGAGGAACAGGGTCAAATGGCTTAGAATTTGTGAAGGCTAAGGTCCCAGTTGATTGAAACTTGTACAAAACTCGGAAGTGGGACGTTTCCACGCCGTCTGTAGGGCAAGGACGCCGTTCTCGCTCCTGTTTAAGACAAGCATCCACCCTCAGAGAGGGTAAGGTGCGTGTTCAAATCAAAAATGGAGCCAAGATTTTTGCCCATAACACAGCTTTATTGTGATATTTTTTTGGAGCGTGAAGCGGCGTTAAATGGCAGCTGTGAATAGAATACCCCTCCTCCATTCCTTTTCCCAATTGCGGATCCAGTAGAAATCCTGGTGTGCAGTAGTCGACGAATCAGTTTTTGGTGTTATTGGTCCTCATGCTGGCTCCGTTCTTGTACATAAGTTTGTTAAACAGCTAGTGAAGCTTTAGTACTGCGAAAGATCAA